CAGCGCACAAAAAGTTAAGCCCCACAAAGTTTAATGTTCACGAAGGGGAAGTTTTCAGAGAAAGTGGTTGGACGAGCCCCAGCGCTGACGTAGCCGCTTTGGCTGCTTCTCCCCTTGCGCTCGCACCAGCGCGCTAGGGCAGGCGCTTGTTTCTCCTTGCAAGTTGCTGTAAAGAAAAAAAAAAAGAAAAAGAAAAACAAGTTAAAAACAAGAACTTTGGGAGCGCGTCTGCGGGTGTCGCCGTGGGTGCGCGCCGCTCCGGCAGCCGCTCGCTCCTCCCGGCGAGTGCTTTGTTCTTCCCACCTCCGGGCGCAGGTCGGTTGTGCAACATGCCCCTGCCACTTCAAAAGGGAAAGAAAAAAAAAAACAAACAAAAACAAAAAGGAAGAGAGAGGGTGAAGAAAAAAAAAAAAAGAAGTGCTGAGTAATGCCAGAGGTTTCTCAAATGGCTGATGCAAACCTGGAGAATTTGCATCATCATTCAGCCGGAGTAACTTGGTATGACAAGAGCTTAAATACAAGTCCACGCGGAAGCCGCGGCGGTTTCCAACGCGAGGCAGGGCCAGCGAGCAGCGCGCGAGCGCAGGTGTTGCTGAGCGGGGCTCGCAGCCCGCGCAGCCTCCCACCTGCGCGCCGGGGCGGCCGCGGGGCAGCAGCTGGTTACACCGGGAGGGGGGAAAAGAGGGAAAAAAAAGAAAAAAAGAAAAAAAAAAGAGGGGAAAAAAACACAAAGCACAGGCAAGGCTGAGCTCGTGCTGGGAACTTTCTGCCTGCGCTTGCCGGGGCCACGGGAGCATGTTGAGGAAGGCGTCTGTGCCCACAGCCTCCAATGGGAAGTACTCGCCGAGGTGCTCCAAGGGCCGCTCGCCCTCGCTGGAGAGCGGGCAGCTGGCCCCGGAGGGCAAAGTGGCGCTGAAGCAGAAGGTGACGCTGCTGCGGGGCATCTCCATCATCATCGGCACCATCATCGGCGCCGGCATCTTCATCTCGCCCAAGGGCATCCTGCAGAACACGGGCAGCGTGGGCATGTCCCTGTGCGTGTGGGCAGCCTGTGGCCTCCTCTCGCTCTTCGGTAAGTCGCCCTGAGCGCCCAATGGGGTTTGCGCCGTTGGATACGCACCAGCACCAATGGATTTGCAGGAGCCTGTTCTTGTTCCGATGCCGAATAGGCGTCGTGCAGGCATGGAGGCATGTGGAGGGTCCCTCCTGCCTCCCCTCGGAGCCCTTGGGAAGGGGCACGAGCACGGAGCGGGTTTCCTGGGGCTCCCCAAAGCCACGGGAGGAGGGCACGTGCCGTGCTGCGGCGGAGCGCGCTCCTCTGGTGGGAGCGAGTCCCGGCTTTGCTTGCAAGGTGCTGGGGGCGCAGGCCATGCTGCGTGCGTGCTGGTGACGCGCTCAAGCCGTGGGACTCGGCTCCCCGGGGGCACCATCGGGCACTGGGAGGAGTAACTCCTGCTGGACCTCGTCCTCGTTGGCGTGAAAGGGAGCAAAATATTGTTATATTATTGTAAAACATCATTATTAGCTTTCACTCCCTGCTGTCGGTGCTGCTTGGGAAGAACGCAGTGCCAAGAGCAGTGGGATGGGAGCAAAGGGCTAGAGAGCAGTTTCTGCCTGAGCTGCCTGCCGTGGCCGTTGTTACCGTTTTGGGGGCGTTTCGTGGCAGTAAGCGCCGGGGAATGCCGCGGTATGCGCTGGGGGCGCGAGGCCCCCGCGGCGCGAGGAACAGAGGGGCCATTGACCTCCTTAACGAGCTAATCTGGGGGCCGCGAGCAGCGAACGCGAGTGCTGGCTTTCCTGAGCACACAGGCGGCTTGTTTGCTGGCAGGAGGCAGCGAGGGCAAACACCGGCGAACACGTGTCCGTGCGCTCCGTGTCAGGAGGTGGGACGCGCGCACGCCGCCCGGGGGAAGAGGCGCTGACTGCGGAAAGGCCGCGGCCGGCCAGGGCGAGCGGGCCGTGAGGGAAGCAGGGACCCGTGCTGGCCATGTGCTAGATGTGCTGCTAATGCCACGGGCAGCCTGATCCGTCACGCCAGCGGGGAAGCCCCGTTGTAACCCAGACGCCGCTGTGCTGCAGGGCCTCGGACGTGACCCCGTCACAAGCTTTGGGCTTGAGATCCGGTTAAAGCAGACCGTGCTTAGGGGTTGTGTGTTGAGATTTAACTTTAATAGCGGTGGTTTGGTAGCTGTGAAGCAAAGTTTGTAGCAAAAAAAAAAAAAAAATCAGGCTGTTTTATCAGAGGGATTTTCTAGGTCATCTTCCACCTCTTGAGATGTTAGAGCTGTGCAGTTCTGCTCAGCAAAAGACACTATCCCTTTCTCTAAAACCCATCACTACAGTCAAGTTTGCACTTTTTTTTTTTTTAATATCATGAATGTTTTTAATTCTCTGCAAAGTAAAACTTTATACAAGGTTCATCTGAGGTCTTGGTGAGGATCTCAGCGAAACATAATTAGATTTCATCTCAAATCTCTCCAGAAGTTGGCAAGAAAAAAAAAATTAGCATATCTTTTACACGTGGATGCAGCATCCCCATAAGTGCATTTTCAGATAGGCCGAAGAACACTCGACAAAAGCTACTGTGTTTTCACCAAGCCCCTCACATGGCACATGAGCGCGGGTGGGATTTGTCGTGAAGTCCTAGGGCTCTGAGGGGCCTGGAGATGCGAGGTGGTTTGGCAGCTGTAGTTTCCATCTTGCCGCGTGAAAGCACGTTGGGAACAGAGCCTAAACGGCACCATGGGATCATGTTGATTTTAACTGTGCACGATGAATGTTTGCAGACTTTGGTGTTGGTTCCCCGGGGCTCCCCAGGTGCTCCCGATGGAGCTGCCTGCATCCGTGGGGCCCGGAGCACCTCCCGCCTCCCAGCGCGGGAAGCGGGCCATGGTCCTGCGGCTGCACGCGGATGTGTCCGGGCTTCTCCCGTCACCGCTGGAAGCGTCGGGCTGGGAATCGTCCGGCTGGCATGACGCAGCAGTCTGCGCCTCCCGCTGCAGGGAAGTGCTGAGTCACGGAACGCCCCCGCGTGTGGCGCCGGCTCTGCGGCGCCGTGCGTGCGGGCGGCACTGAGCGTGGTCAAAGGCCAGGCTAGCTGAAGGAACAAAAAGTCATAAAGAGGCTTAAAAAAAAAAATTATCGGAAGTAATTGTGACCTCACAGCATCACTGCTGCTAACTCTATTTATTATTCATGGGGCATAAATGTTTTGAAATGTATTTCTTTTGTGTCTTCAGTGATGCCATCCTTCCATTCCCGCAGGTGCCCTCTGCTATGCTGAGCTGGGGACGTGCATTAAGAAGTCTGGTGGTCACTACACCTACATCCTGGAGGCCTTTGGTCCGTTGCCTGCTTTTGTGAGGGTCTGGGTGGAGTTGCTCATCATTCGGTAAGCGCACCGTGGGTGTCTCTGGCTCTGATCTGATACGGATGTGCTTTCAGTCCTGAAGAACAGTCTCAAATGCATGGTACACAAAGAAATCAAAACTTGATGTGTGAGCTGTGCATTTTTAGTAAGGTTGCTTTGGATAATTTAACAATTTTATTTTGCTTGGCAACATTGAAATGTTCACGAATGTATTTTTCGGGGGGGGAGGAAGAGTTCAGAGTAAGCTAGCTGTTGCACGTATTCAGCTATTTGTTTCAATTTTGCTAGGCTTACCGCATCCACGAACGCCATTCATAATGCCTGTGTCTATATGTAGCTATCTGGTATACACTGTAGTCAAGCAGGGAGGCTTCTTTTGCATTTTCACAATCTCCAGATCGTTGACGTGACGCACAAGCCTCCGCCTTACAGTACTGCTGCGACTGGGGAGCTTTTTACATGTAGAACAGGGCGATTTGCTTATACAAAGCAAATTCCAGGAACTCTGCATGCCTGCCGCCAGCTCCTGGCCTCTCCCGTGAGATCGGCGAGCTTGGCACGGCAGCGGGGCTGCCCTCCCCGACGCAGGTTCCTTCGCGCGCTGCCGGCAAGCCCCAGCACCGAGTGCGAGGTGAGAGGCACCAGCAGCGCTGAGTCACTGTGAATCTATAAATTCTTATCTCGCTTCTGGAGGAAGTGGTTGCGTCTGTTGGATGGTCACTCGCACCCTCCCCATCCTTGGGTAACCTCCCAATTAATTGCAGGTTTTCAGTCAAAGCCGAGCGGATGTCTCAGCCCTTTTGCCATCAAGGACACTAGGTGAAGGGAAAGACCTCAGTTTTCAGTGAAGCTCCCTCAGTGGTGGGAACGTAACTGTGTTGTTGCATGTGAGAGAATCCACAAAGGAGCAACAAGATAAACTCCCTTGGAAACCTACACTTGTTAGACAGGGACCTGATGTACCTAGGCAGGGAGATCCACAAAAAAACAGGCTTTCTAAAGCCCCTTTTCTCAAAAAATTTTTCCCTTTTTCACGTGTGTCAGTATCCCAGGAGAGCCACGAAAACATTGTTAGTCATCACAGCGTGCCCTACGCCCAGTAAATACCCATCCTGCACGGGAGGAAACATCCATGGAGTCTTTAATCATCCTATCCGTGCGGCGGCTGGGGAGGCAGACTTGTTATAACTTGTGATGATCGGTGCAGCGCTGCCGAAACTCTGCCTAGAGTTTGGTTTCCGACTCCTACGTCGCTAAACTAATTGACTGCTGCTATCAAAGAGCTTGAGACCAAACGTGTATCCGCGTTTTCTTTCTTAGTGGGAGAAGTTGCTTGTATGCTTCTCAGCTAAGCCTATCTTTCCCTTGGAAGACTGCAGGATTATCAGCCCTGCAGGCTGGTGAAGCAGGCACAACCAAAAATAAACATTACCTGCTCTCGTGTATCTTTTCAGTCACTGTTTTACTGTCTGGGGCACATTCAAACACTGTGCACGTACAGATTAACCTGTGCTAGCATCACCTAAATGCAGAAGTGTCTTTCCCTGTGCAGCTCCTCAACCAGGACAACTCAGAATGTTTCTGTCTCCTCAGGTGACATATATATCAACTATATCATAGATCCATCTGTTTAACAAAATACTGGCTTACAAACAAACAAGCCTGCATGAACGTATCATCTGTATTAAATACGGTGATTGCTGAGCATAGACTGGGTGAGAGTGTGCTGGCAAATACATGACTCACTTGACTGTGGTATGTGCTGGTGGCAATGCCCCTGCTGCTCTCCCCTTGGCACTTTGGGCTACCGCTCCTTAAATGAAAGCTCCTAAATCTGTTGTGCCCTGCTCCAGTGGTAGAGGCCTGCCAGTCTTGCTTTATGACTGCAATAAAAAGGAAAAAGCCCGATTCTTTCTACTACCACTTCCGTTCGTGGACCTCACTGCCAGCAGTGACTTCCCCAAAGTGTGAGAATGGAAGAGGCATGGGCGGTTACTAGAGATGTAAATCAGGAACTGCTTTTAAAATGAGCATTGTGGCGCTAGTGGCCACTGCCTCTTATAAAAGGTTTTCCTCAAAGCAAGAGGGAGAAATCAAGTTCTGGGAGAAGGAGCGGGAACCGAGAAAGAAAGTTGCCCGAGACAGCACCAGAGATCTGATCTTTCATCTGATCTGGGGCAGCCCACGCTATTTTTGGCAAACTGCTCTGTTTAAAGGCCGGGAGCGTGGCGATCTGCTTGTACAATTAAACGTAACCCGCAGAGGTCGGTTCAGTGATTACGTGTGTACAACTAAACCGAGAGGACGGTCAGTCCCCGGGCAGCCGGGCAGCAGTTGCTGCTCAGCGCAGGGAGCAGTTCTCGTGCGCGCGGGATGTGCAGGCGGCAGCGCTCGCTCGTAGGGCAGCAGGGCGCTGAGGAAGACGCGTCTGCTCCTCGCTGCTCTGCACTTCAACCCAACGCAATGTGTGGTGTTTTGGTTGAGTCATCACGCTATGAAAGTATTTTTGTTTCAGAGGCAAAAGTCTCTTGTGGAAAGTTCCTTGATGGTTCAGTGAAGAATAAGAACAGCTTTGTAGACTTTTTAAGCCTTTCCCTGCAGTTTTACAGCAGCTGTATTTCTGTTGAAGTTCTGCAGGATGAGTAGGGTGCTCTGCAGCTGGGCATTGTTTCTACTAAAGTCTGGAGATTTTTTATAGCAAATTTGTGGGGGCTGCTGTTTACCTCAAAAATCATGAGTGGCAGATTCATATGCCTTTTTTCTCCTTATTGCATGTAACTGTGATGGAAGCACAGATACCACCAGCTCAACCTAGGGAGGGTACACATGTCCTCCCAGACCAAATGCAAGCAGAAGCACTAGATATGCAGACACAGGGTCTGATACAAGGCACAGGGTAAATTGCTCTTAACACATATGTTAATTCTAAGGTTTCCAATAAACAATTAGCCTGTCTGAAAGAGCAAGGCTTTATAAATGCTATGAGTATTTTCAACTTGTGTTTCCTTCACATTTTTTTGATGCATGGAAGATGTTTCCTGCATTTGGGTGATTTTTGCTGTCGCTTGCTGTGGTAGGAAGTTGTTAGTCATTAAAGGAACAAATGTTTTTAAAAGTCTGTTTCTATTTTAGCAAGTCCCATTTTCATTTTAAAAACTTGGCTTTTTTTGGATGTTAATTTCAGCAAAGCAGAAGTAGCCTCATAGAAATTGATTTGCTTTTATCTGCAAGGGATCAGATATGCCCACCACTAAAACATAGCCCTCCTCTTCAACTTTTACACAAGGCTTTGCTCATGTTATCTAGTTCTGACCGTGCTTACTCCAGACGAGCGAACGAAGGTTTGTATTGCTACATTTCCATTCTGTTTATGGCTGCTTCCCAACACGAGAGTTGCAGGAATGGCCTCATCCTGATAAGAAGGGTTGCTGTCAAGATCAGAGTCGCTAAGCAAAGCTAAACTGTTTATGATTTCTTGATGACCTCTACTACACTCAGTAATCATGGTACATGGTAGCACAGTTACAAATATGCATTAAAATTAAGTACAGTTCACAGTTTTCTAATGATAAAGTTACAGCATGATCCAATATGAATATTTCTTGCCTACTATTGTGGATTAATTTTGTGATTTTTTTGTTTGCTTTTGCTTTTTACCCTAGCCCTGCTGCCACAGCAGTGATATCGTTGGCATTTGGACGCTATATCTTGGAGCCTTTCTTTATGCACTGTGAGATCCCAGAGCTTGCAATTAAGCTTATTACAGCTGTTGGTATCAGTAAGTATCCAATTTTTAGGTTTCAGGGAAGAGTAGAGATGATGTAAACTAAACAGTACATAATGACATGCTGAGCAGGTAGTCATTTGACGTGAATCATTACAGGAAGATTGTGCCTCCAGTGCCAAGGGCATCAGCACGATGCTCTGCCTCGATAGGTGTGTTTGTGAACATACACGGTTGTGAAAGAATAACAGAGCTCCTTAATGGCAGGAGAATCTACTGCCAAGCCTCATTCCATTGCCACTCAAATTAATGGCAGGACCCTCATTAGTTTGGTGGAAGCAATTTCAGTCCCTAAAGAGCCAGCGAGGCAGTGCCAGAGATATGGGGAGCGATTACTGGATTTGAAGGGCTTTGCGGTGCAGCTGCATGCCAAGTGCAATACTGGGGAGTGATGTCGGTCCCACAACTGGCCCACAGGCAACATGAAATCATCTTCCCAGGTGCCACCCTGGCCTGCAGAGCACCGTGAGCTTACAGGCGTGCTGGCAGCGCGGGGCGCAGGAACCCAGCGGCCTTCAGGAGCAGGCCCTGCAGTTCAGGCAGAGTGCACACGTGCTACCAGTAGTTTGCTCTGGTTTTTTTTTCCTATTTTTTCCTAATTTTTTTCCTTCTTTGAAGTGAGCGTAAGCGGACCATTTTAGGATGTAGAGAAGGGATAACTGCCAGCGGGAGCTGCGAGGCTCTTTGTAGGCCAGGAGCCTCGTGGTGTACGCAGGCAGGTGTGCGAGGCTGCGCGAAAGGAGAACCAGCCGGGGCGCGAGGGGCGCTCTGGGGCGGTGTGTGTAGTGCAAAGAGGGCCTCGCGCTGTGAGCAGCCGGGGGGGACAGCGCTCGCACGCGCGTGCAGAGGGAGGCCAGGGCAGAGCAGGCCTGAGTGCCGAGCAGCAGGTTGTTCCTTTCGGGCTGGTCAGCACGCGTGCCCAGAACCGAAGAACGGGAGAACGGAATTAAAACGTGCAAAATGATCAAAGGCACACGGAGACCACTTTAATTTTGCACAGTGATAGGTTCGGATGACTTTTTCTTCCTTTGGGGTAGAGAGTTCAATTGACATTGAAATTTCCAGGCTCCGGGTTACTCTCTGTCTTTTTCTGATGAAGTTCTCTATATGGGAATTCACTTCTACCAGGAGCGTTAAAGAAATCAGTGTGTGACCACATTTCTTTCTGACTTAATTATGCACAAACTATAGGTTTCACAGGAATAATTGAATTAAGGGCTTGAGTTTCGAGGTCAATGACTATTTTATAGTTACATCTGTCTAAAATATTTTAGCGAAAGATAGGGGCGAAACAGATGTTGGGTAATTTCAAGGTCACTGAGACAGAAGGAATGTGAAGGGAGGACTCTATTAGAGGCTTTTGTTAAGGGCATGTGATTCAAGCACAATACGTGAACGATTTAAAATAAGCTTTTATTACTTTTGATTTAATTGAAAAATCTGTGTGCTAAGCCAGGATTTCACAAAGTAATTAAACAATTGCAGGGGGCGATGGTGGAGTTGTGCTGAAATAATTGCACCCTAAAGGGAGGCAGAATTTCACAGCAGCCTGTTCCTATGGTGACCGTGGGCTTGCGCAGGGCAGGTAGGATGAGCTGCTGCTTCACAGAAACCAGAGATTCCCGTGGAAAGTTTGCAATCCTGGATGGGATAGGGCTGAGGAAAACAGCAATGTACGGGACGAGGGTTTACTTTTATTCTTTGCCCTGTGCTCTACAGCAGAGTTTAACTTGATGTAGTTTTTGATCATATATTGCACTTAGGCTCAGGGATTGGAGAGTGTGTGACTGTTATTCCTGTCTCGGCAGGATGAGTTATGATGCTAGCAAGCAATTATGATGAGTTTGTGTATCGTGAATATGAGCAGAGTGATAGGCAAGATTAAGGTCTGGGGGGCTGAATAGGCATATTGGAACACTACAAATCCTAGAATCCAATTTAATGGTGCCACAGGCAGTGTTTGCTTTCATTGAAAAAATTTTGTTAAGCTAATGATGAAGTCAGCTGACATGCCTTTTGTCTTCTCCATTCCTCATCCCTTCTTCTATCCCCTGTGCCGTGCCTGATGACAGAGCGCTCACCGCCGCATATCTCTTATCTTTATTGCGTGGGGAGGAAGGCGGTGAGAAGCGCCGTTAAGCGCTGTCCTTGATTGAGACTTTGTTCTGCAGTTTTACCTTGTCATTTCTGATCACACAAGAAAGGACTGGAATGGATGTTGAAAAGTCTCCAGGCTATCCCCTGCCCCCAAACACCATCAGCTTATCTAAACAGTTTCTGGCAGATGTTTGTCTAAACTGGTCTAAACCTCCAGTGAGGGAATTTCTACAATCTCTCAGTATGATATCCCATTTTTTTTCTTCTCCTTGTCTCAAGAAAGCCTTTCCCCCGTTGTTTTTTTTTTTTTTTTAAATCTCCTGTTATTTTTCTCTCCTAAACCTCCTTTTTCTGTAATTTAAGCGTTTTGCACCACGTCTTACCCACAACATACGCAGAGAACGGTCCTTCCTCTTCCTCTTTGCAGTCCCCTCAGCAGACCGCGCTTACGAAGGGCAGTAGGGCTGAGCCGGGTGGAACTGTGCACAACAGCTCAGGCGAGGATGGCCTTATCCTGCGAGGATCACAGCCAGTGCCTCGCCAAGGGCTGCCGAGAGTTGCCCGAGCTGTGTGCGACCAGCACCACGATGGGAAGCGGCAGGTATGGATGCCCCTCTACCAGCTCATATGGCACCTCAGTGTCCCTGTGGCCCAGCAGTGCTGCAAAGGTGACACAGATCAGAGAGCTGAAATGGGGAGCTTTTGGGGAAGGGGACCTGTAGAGAAGTCTTGTTACTGGTTTATTGCTTTATGGGAGCCAAGCATGTGCTGGGGACAAAATTCTCCTTCCGTTCACGCCTGTTCTGAGCAATTTTGAACAAGTAAATTTTCTGCCCTGGGGTATTGTGATTCCTTCCTCTGGGTAACACAGGTGATTAGTTGTTTTTCAGAAACAAAAAGTCCAAACGTGTCGATGGCCCCAGGAGGACATGGTAGAAAAGGTGCCTGTGGGCTTGTCTCTGGAGATCCCCTGCCTTCCTAGTCTCTGCGCTGCTTTTTTCAAACTTAGAAATCACTTAGATTTCCTCTCTGTTTTTTCAAGTCCTCTCTGCAAGGGGAAAAGGGCAGGCAAATAGTGCATATATTCACCTCAGTCTCTTGTCAGTCTGCCATAAAGTTTTTCTAAACTCAGTCAATTTAACAAAATCTCGGAGAGGAGCTGGTGTCTCAAAGATACTCCCCTATTATATTTTCTGTGAAAACAAGTGGCCAGATAGAGGAGAGGAACCTGTGCCCTGGGAAGAACTCCAAAAGAAAATGCATATAGAGAACAGACCTTCTAAATACCCAACTGTGGGAATTGCTTCACCTGGAGGTTTATCTCCTTGGACACAGTGGCCCTGCAGAGCAAAGCAGGGAGTTTGTAGCTTTCTCTGTTCTGCTGCTGAAGGCACTGTCTTTTAGCAGGAACATTTGCAAGTTCATTTATCTTTTGAAAATAAAATCTGATAGACTTCTCCATATTTATAATTTCTTCAAATAAAGAGAAGCTTTGCAAAGCGTTGTGATAGGCTGTGCAAAAGGAATCTATATTCATTTATTGCTTTATTTCTGTCCTCTAACCGTGTTCCTAATGATAAGCTTAAATAAATTACCAGCAGTGAGGGATAAATTATACCGTGTAAAGATGTTGAATGTCTTATTGATGTATAACCTGAAGAGATATGCAATCTTAACTGTGCCAGTTCTAATCTTTTCACTTGCTCTCCATATCAGGAGAACAGGTTTCAGGTATCCAGACCGGAGAGGCTTGGAGCAGGTTACCAATTCATACTTGTTCTTAAGGTTTTAAACTATTCATGCATATTTGGAGCACTCGTCACCACAGTAGTGTAAATTTTCCATTGTTTTGGAGCTGTGCTACAAAGACAAATACCTCAAACTGTCACAGATATACAGAGCCAATGGTATGCTGGAAAAGTGAAATCAGCTGTACAGATCTATCAATATTTGCTGGCAAATATTCCGGAAAGTTCTGCTGGCATTAATTGGGTGTGTATGTGTGAGTCTATAGTTAGTTCCCTTTTTTTCCCAGCACGGCAGATGCAGTGGACGTGGAACTCTCCTAATGACAGGTTTCAGGCAAGCAGTTAAATTAAGACATCTCTTAGCTGTGTGAATAGCAAAAGCTGCTCTGGTGGGTGGTTTTGTGCCTCCTGCGACTTCATTTTAATTGATGCATTAAAATCCCCAAATTTAGATATTTTTGCTTAGTGTGGGCTCCTCCTGCTTACGAGCGCCGTGGCCATAAAGCTCTGGCGAGTCAGTGGAGGGCAGCTCCTCCTGCAGCTCCCTGCTGCGGCAGGGGTGCGCGTGCCTGGAAGCAGGGCAGGCCGTAATGCTGCCGTCGCTTCCCCCATGGATTTCATTACCCTTCCACGGCTGTGGCTAGGGGAAGGAAAAGAAGATTGTGAAAAGCAACGTGATCAGTGCTGCCATCGGGTTTGATGGTTCATGAACACCGTTTTGTGCCCCCTCCATGCTTTCCTGGATTAGTGTTTTTAGGCGGATATGTAGTTTGAGCTAATTGTCTGCGCTCCCTATAAAGTCAGTGGAGAAAGAGCAAAAAACGAGAGAATTCCTGAAGGCAACTCATCCCCTCCTAGAGAGGCTTCTGGAAGAGGTGCTATCAGTCATCCTCTGGAGGCACATATCTCTTCACCGAGGGAGGAAGGAGACCAGGTGCCTAACTTTCAGCTGGCAAATTTAGAGAAGATGAGTCCCACTTTTACTGTCCTTTTGTCTGGGGAGTTGCTCCTTTCTTCCAGTCTTCACTGTGATCCTGTATCAAAGTCTCTGCAATGAGTTTCTTGAAGTATCTCCATAAGAAACTATTTGTAGAAGAATAGCTGAATAATGACCCTCGACCCAAGATGCAGTTTCCATCTTGAACGCTGGCACAAGTGCTTTGTCATTTTCCCTCTCAGCTTTCTCCATGACTTTTTCATGATTGCCTTTTTCTGTCTGGTTACTAACACAGCCCCCATGCTGCTGATACATGATGTAATTATAAACTCCACTTATGTCCCTTGTGCACATGCAACTTCAAATGCATGACTAAATGTTATAAAATTGTAAATACTTATGGTCGTTAAGCTCAGTCCAATCAAGTGAAATTCTGAAAAAAAAAGAAAAAAAGAAAATTCAGACTCAAAATATCAGATCTTTTGAGAACTTCTCAGCTCTGCAATGTGAGTTGGAGCACGTAGCTCTGCAAGAGCTCTTGTAGAGCATCATTGAACCTAAGGGCACCAAGCACCAGGTATTGGGTCTTCTGTCTTCCTGATGAAATCAGGATCCTTGCAGTGCCCATTTCCCATCAGAAAGTCTCAATGGCACCGTTTTGCTGGCTGGGACTCACAGTCAGGGGTGGAGAATGTTTAATTTGTGCCGATAGGACCCTGGATTTCTTTCTTTAAAGCAAATGTGGCTCATTTGTAGATCTGTGGCTGTGGATTTGTGTGTGGCTGCCTGTAAGGAAGTTGCCACGAGTTTCTGCGGGAGCTGAAATTCATGCTCAGTCTCTTGCTCCCTGTCTCCAGGCTGTACCAGGCAGGTAGCTGGAGCACTACCAGGAGGGCTGGCTTGGAGGGGAGGCTGCTCACGCTTCGTGTCCTGACCTGAGCAAGCTAACAGGGTGGTTGCTGCAGTGAGCTTGCCCTCTGAAGGAGCTGGATGTCACACTGCAGATATTTTTCCATACATAAAACTTTCCTTTGACATTTTCACATGGCCTGAGCTTTGTTTCATGGAAGAGGAAAATTACTGTACACTAAGCTTTCCAGAAAATTTGAAATAAGCTGGTGCTTGCACTGAATTCCCTTTATAACTGCAGCAGTGTTGCTGAAATAGATGTTTTAAATATATTTTGCTTAAGCCGTTGTAAAGCATGTGCGCACATTTCCTACGTTTTTGCCCTGCAATCAAGCCCTAGTAAAGAGAGAAAGCTTCAGTCAGCACTAATATTCAGCACCAACCTGGAGGAAGCTTTCAACACTTACTCTGGCATAACTCCGTTTATGTAATGTTGGGACAATAGAGCAGTGAATCAGGCCCCTGGGATTTTCTGTTTCCTGCCAAGTGTATATATGTACAAGGAAGTAATGAAACAAAAAATACGTATTTGGATCTTAAGTGATGCTTTGCAGAAGTCCATGTGTGTGTCTTTTTTTCTCTTGACTCGGAAAAGACCACTGAGTTATGAAATATGGTAAAGTACAGAAATAGGAAAGCCTTTTGATCTTTAAAATCTATTTTGGTGAAAAAAAAAAACAAATTCAGTGATGTTGCATGCTTGCATAGTTTTTTTTTTTTTTTTTTTTTTTAAGGGGGGGAACCCCCCTTTCCCTTTTTTTTTTTTTTTTTTTCCTGGGGATTTTAACTTTAATTAAAATGTCTGGAAATACATTGGAATAGATTTTTTTCTCATTTTCTTGCATTTTTTTTTCTTTTTCTCTTAAGCCAATGCTAATTTGGTTGCAGTGCTTGCAAAGCTAGCCAACACAAAGTAGCTTCCAGGCTCTGGTGGGACACACTGACGTGTGATTTTATGCATCCCGTGATGTGCGAGATGGCTGATTATACAGATAAACAAGTGCTCCTGAGAGAGTTTGAAGGAAGAAGGGATTCTGATGAAAAGCTGATTCTTTAGTTCCGTGCTGTGGCAGGAAAGGAAAGATCAATGAGCAGGCTTGTGTTGCCACATCCACTTTCCTCTGTAGCAAAGGGAAAAGTGCCTTGTTTTTAATCTAATGAAATGGCTCACATTTTCCATTCATTAAGTAAATAGCCAAACTTATTTATTCTGTTTTGCCAACGTGATTGCTTAAATAAGTGAGAACAAGTGGCACTGAAATTATAAGACCTGTTGTTTTCCTATCAGTCAACACTCCAGTAAAGGCCAGAAAATGCCCTCTCTGACCCAGAAGGATGTGTGAGTGGAGGCAGCAGGATGTAAAAGCACTTCTTATGTCACTTCATGTTGTTGAGGCACAGACCCGACCTTGTTTTCCAGCAATAAGAGGTCTCTGCTCCTTTAGCAATTCCTAATGTGGATGGGAACATTTCTGGGATGTGGGTCTCCTGTGTCTTCTGTGGGGTGGACTTAGCAGAGGAGAAAGAGCCAAGGGAGGAGCAGGTATAAATGAGGTCGTGAGTGACAAATTTATGTGGGACCTAAATGAGGGTGAGAAAGTTTAATGGGATCATTAATTGTTATTGTTTCAGGAAAATGCAAATCTCTCATCAAACCATCACAAAGAGAGAAATCTGGTGTGATAGGGGTTGTGCAGTTGGTTTTTCCTTTTTTTAATTTCTTTTTCATCCAAAGGAGGCTTCTGTCAAGCCATTACCAACCAGGAGTTAGAAATGCCGAGTAAATGAAACTTTAATGCGGTGCAGAAGGCGCCGTGTTGAGACTGAGGAGATGGATGGGCAGAGCAGTGGGTCAGAAAGGGGCTCAGCCCGTGTGTTTCACAGGGAAGCTGGAAGGACAACCTGAGAAAGGAGGGTGGCAGATGGAGGAGGTTTTCAGGGTATTTCCTCTAATGCATCAGAACCCACTGTTTGTGCAGCCTCTCTATTGGCAAATAGTTTTGTGGTGATCTCAGTGGCACGAGCGTTTTTTCTCTGACCTTTCTTTTTTCCCTTGCAGCGACGGTGATGGTCCTGAACAGCACCAGTGTCAGCTGGAGTGCCCGCATTCAGATTTTCCTTACCTTTTGCAAGCTTGTAGCAATTCTGATAATTATAGTCCCTGGAGTTATCCAGCTAATTAAAGGTATGAAATGGAAAGTAAATGCTTTTAAAGTGCTTTTATCTTTACCCTCCCCAGTCTTTCCCTGCCTGCCTCTGCCAAATGCTGCTTATAGCAGCAGAATCTCTTAATTAGTCTCTACTTGTTTAGCTGAAGCTCCGTGCTGTCATGTAACCGATTAGCAGTGGGGCTGCACTGGGATGAACTGGTGTTTCCCTCAAGCATGCCAACAAGCCTGCTCGTCAGGCTGTGTTTTCAAATGAGCTATGGGATGGCTCTTCTGCGGGTATTTGGCGGCACCTCTGTGCAAGGGGCAGACTCCGCTGTGGTGACCGAGGGTTTTCGCAGCAGTGGTCCAGCCCAAACGAGTTGTCCGGACAGAACGCAGCTCCTTTAGCCACACCACCATGATGTCCTGGTCCGTGTCTGTGGTGTGTGCGGGTCAGGATCAGGGGATATTTGAAATGGTGTCTAGTGGGGAGGAACTGTGGTTAGCCAGGCATTGCTTTTACAGCCTTCCTGGATGAACCTCTATGGGATGCTCATGTGTCCTTCAGTTCTTCCAAGGGAAAGACTAGAACATGTTGCTAAAGGCAGAGGTTTGGGGCTCACCAAGCCCAGGAAAGCAGGAGAGTTCAGGAGGCCAGGGCTATTTTGCAAGCCTTGCCAATGTTGCCACACGAGCAAGCCCTGTGAGCAGACCTCTGCGTCCTCCCGAGCTGTGTCCCATGGAGGGGACTATGCAGGCCTCTCCTCGTCTCTTTGGGGGTCACCCAGCTGGAGCAAGGCTGGCAGGAAAGCACCTTTTTCTGGTGTACCCTCAGCTACCTGGAGAGGCTCTTCTGCTGCAGCTGTGCCAGCAGAGGTTGTGGGGTGGAGACGAGCCCAGCTCATTCACCTTACAGCAACGGCAGATGATAACTGCACAAAGCAGAGGGAGCCATTCAGCACAGCGGGTCAGGAAGGGGAGCAGGTTTTAATGAATTGGCGGCAGATTTTATCTAACAAAACTTACACAATTGCGGTTCGGTCCCCGGGGAGATGCTTTTCTTGTGCTTTGCAAAGCCTCCGACCGGTGTGCGCAGCACAGCGCTCGTGCCCTGCGCTGAGCTCAGAGCTTCCTGGGGACACAGGCGGCCCTCTGTGGCTGGCAATAGTCTCCGAAATAAAAGTTTTTCTATGGAGAGCTCTGCTGATTCACTATAGCTCCTTTCATGCTTGTTTCTTTTTTCTTTTTTTTTTTTTTTAAAAAAAGTTTTTTCTGGCTTTTGTAATGCCTGTACCTTCAGCTCCTTTCACACTCAGAGTTTCTCTGCTTTCCCATCCGTCCCTTGTCTTTCTGGACCTTTGGAGCAGGCCAGGCCTGGGTTGGTCTGGGTCCTGCTGCCTGTAGAACTGTAGACCACCGGATAGAAAAATAACGGAATAACGTTACTCAAAAGTTGTTGCAAAGTAAAAATTTGTGACCTGAATTTGTGGTGCCCAGCAAATTCCTCCTCAGTGGACTCTGTTACAATATTAAGTGAACTGTATTCTTTGCCAGGCTTTATGGAAACTCTTTATTGCTTTGTTTGGCTATGAAAATTTATGTGCTAGGGAGGAGGAAAACCTAATGTTTTTTTAGCCAGAGTGCATGTGTACTGCTGGGCAGATAACTTGTTTTGTCAATATGTTCCCCATCACTAAAAGTACATTCAAAGCAATTTTAAATATTAGGACTCAAGGTGAGTATTATATTTTGAGAAGTCACTTATTTCTGCATCCTGCTTTGTGTCTTCCAGTTATTTCCAAAATGTTAATCTCAAATGATTGCATTTCTAGATAAATAGCTTTTTTTTGGTACACCGTAGGACACATTGATGAATGTCATGTGGGAGGGAATTACTAAATACTGACAAAACCACTGGTAGAAGGGTTTTAGATATTGGTTTTGCTTATTTGAAAAATGTTGCCCGTAAGTGAAATGCGAGCCATATTCCTTCTGGTTTAACTGTTGGCAGACAAGTGAAGGAGACAATGGTGCAGTGTCATCGAGCCCAGGACACTTTGGAAAAATGTAATTAGTCAAATGCTGCTTTTGCGTGACTAAGAGCACCACGAAAAGCAGCTTTTTACGACTGCTGACAGGATCCGGCTACAAAGGTTGGGCTGGAAATTAAGGTCAAGGGTAGTACTTGGCCAGTGATCTGTTTGGGTGATTAAATGTTCTGTGGTGTGATATATTTATTCGTTTGACCAAAGAGCTCATTTTCCAATATTGTTGATTTTTCAGGAGAAACGCAGCACTTTAAAAATGCCTTTGCGGGGAACGATGCCAGTGTTATGGGGTTGCCACTTGCTTTCTATTCAGGAATGTATGCTTACTCAGGCTGGTAAGTTGCTCAAACCTATAAGTGCTTGTTCTGAAACAAACAGTAACATGCTCTAACAGTAGCATTTATTTCTGTAAAAAAAAGTGAATAGCATATTCTACATCTTATGACAAACCACATTATGCGGTGTAGTGAGAGGAGATCTTGCCATATGCTGGGCAGTTACTCAGTAAGCAGCTCTGATGAGGAAAGAGAAATATTTTACAATAAACAATATGTGAACACTCCCTGCTCTGTTAAAAAAAAAAAAAAAAAAAAAAAAGATATATTTTTGTTCTTAAGGTTAGAAATAAAGGCCCCAAGAAAGGAATGGTCTTGAATTCTTGTTAGCTGCTTTTTTTTTTTTAATTAATAAAAGGCTAAACATGATGATAAAGCTTTGCTTTTGTTAAACAAGTCAGTAATTACATGGAAAACAAATCTATAAGCAGCAGAAGAGTTATGGAGTTTCATGGCGCTTGGGTGGACTTCAGCCTCTGCTCTGTAGAAGTCATATTTAAAGAGCAAGAAGGTTGCTCCAGCTAGACCACAAAACAAGGATAAAACCCAGATTCTGGTGACTTTTGCTCTTACAGATAGGACCTCGCTTAGCCAGAAGCATGGTGGCTTCAGAGGGAGTTAGCCCCTACTCACTGCAAGCAGGGCATGATGAGAAGCCGCCTTCAAGCAACCTGCTCAGAGCTTGCTTTCGAGTCCCTTCCCTCTCCTCCCATCTCCCTTAGGATTTACTCCTGCGTAGCCAGGGCTGCGTGTTGCCGATGGGCTTTGCTGCACAAGGCTGGAGAAGGACCACGGTGCACGGGCTGTGTTTATTTTGCAAGAGCTTTGCCTCCCATCTGTCCTTGCCTTTGTGGGCAGCAAAGCCCTTTACCTCACACAAAAGGTGAGGGCTTGAGCGATAAGGGCTTTATTTATTTAATTTTGTGGGGCACAATCGGCCGAGCATTTGGATTCTCTGCGGGTCTGTAGTGCACTGAAGCCCTGAGCAGAACCTTTATTTGAAGTGGGGGTGCAGAAGCGCGGGAGAGTCTGAGGCCTTTATCTGGGATAGATATATATGGAATAAAAGAGCCTAGCATTTTAAAGCCTCAAAGAAATGGG